TAGATTATAACCAGCTCAATATTAACCTGTCAGGACTTGAAATCAAGCAGGTAGTGGTATCATATATTATATGTATCTGGGCAGCATCATCAACAATGCTCAAGAAGGCTCGGACACCCATATAGCAGCAGCTTCTGTCATGTTTCAGGCCCTTCATCAGCCTTTATGGTTGCCAATCATGTGGGTGTCAAAACTTTGGTAGTGCAATAAAATAAACTGAACATAGAGCCAGGCCACCTTAAAGATCTAGCCAGAGATTGATCTCCAAGGAGACCCATGTCCCTTTGGGATTTGTCATGATGATGATACTAAGATGTTCTTACATGGAAATTATAGGAAAGCAAATTTAAAGTTGAGGGAGCTCGCATAAGGCAATAGTCAGAAGGACACCTTTTTGTAAAGAAGCAAGGATCTTGTGAAAATTATTTGCAAAGCCTTTTGCAGGATGAAAGGGAAAATAAAATGATTCTTTACAAGAACTTCCTCAGGTGGTTGTTTACTAAGTGGAGGTTTATTAATGTTATTTTCAGAGTAGCTGCTGCTGCCAAATGTAATAGTATTAGAATGGGACTCTGAATTAAAGACAATTCAAGTTTGAGATCAGAACTTTCATATGAGATGTAAAATCAAAAGACTTGTTGGTAGGCTCTTTTCACAAAAACAGGAGCACAAACCCATATGATGTGGTCATATTCCAACTTCTTTATTTACAGTCTAGCTACCCAAATTCCCACTACATTTTTAGATGGATACTCCATTTTGTATTTCTTATACTGAAATGTAGTGTTGTTGTGCGCTATTAAGTAGTTGATGTAATTTGCCCCAAAGATGGTTGTCAATTTTGGGCACATCCTGAATGCTATCCCTCTATCCTGGAAACCAAAATATGACAGATTTGATTTTTAAGATTAAAAGCCATGGAGACCGATGTGTCCTGTGCACAGAACAAGCCTCAGTGACAGTACAAATATCTATTGCTGTCAAATGGACCCAACCCTGACCTTGAATGGATAAATCTATAGTGTGACAGGGTTGTAACATTTCTGTGTTCATTCACTGCTGACACATAATGGTGATTTTTTGAGAATACCAGTTGTGACGGTGTTTTTGGTGATATGGGCAGTTGTCTACTGGCAACGAGGAAATGGTTGATCCCTTTCAGGGCAGTGCCAGCCTCCTCCCAGTGCGGGGGGTGGGGGACTGAGGTGATCTAGGCAGAAAATTGGGGGGACTGCATTAAACATATAACCTCCCCACACCCACACAACCAGCCCAAGGCCCCTTAATCCCAGAGCTCTGGGCCTGGAGCTGGGGAGGGGCAGGGCTAGGGGCGCCCCTGCCAGGGGATCCTACCGTGCACTGTACTCCAGCTGCTAGTCCTGGCCAGGCTGGAGAGGCAGAGACCCACTTCCGGGAACCTCCCCTGACTGCAGGATGCTCCACATCTCCCCTCACTTCTTGCTTCCATCGCTCTCAGCCAATGGGGGGGAGGAGTCACTGTGTGGGGAGCTGCCCCACTCCATTCGCCCAGGGCACCATTTTTCCTAAGGCCGGCCCTGGACATCAACACTCAGAGCTGGGCAGCTGGAGAGTGGTGGCTGCTAGCCAGGCACGCAGCTCTAAAGGCAGCACTGCCACAATATGACATTGCCACCCTTACTTCTGTGATGCTGCTAGTGGCAGTGCTGCCTTCAGAGCTGGGTGCCCGGCCAGCAGCCGCCACTCTCCAGCCACTGAGCTTTGAAAGCAGCAGCTGCCATTCTATTCACAGCCTTCACAGCTGAGTGACGGAAGAGCAGAGGCTGCTGGCCGGGCGCCCAGCTCTGAAGGCAGTGCCGGCATCAGCAACAGCGCAGAAATAAGCGTGGCATGGTTCAGAGGCGAATTAAGGTTTCCTGTGGCCCTGGGCCAGAGCAAGTGGGGGGGGCCCCCCTCCCCACCCCTTCTGCCTGAGGGCCCGCCCATGTTCTGTCCCTTCCGCCTGTGGCCCTGCCCACAGCCCCACCCCTTTCTTCCCCTTCCCCAGGACTTTGCCCCTGTTCCACCCAGCCCCCCCCCAATTCTGCCCGCCATACAACCCATTTGCTCCTTTCTGCCCCCACCCCCATCCACTGAGGCCCCAAGATCGGAGAAGCTCTGTCCCCTCACCATGGCCCTTGGGCCATAGCGGGGAGTGAGAGCTCCTCTAGTCCCAGGGCTGCAGCAAGGGTCCAGGTGCTGGGGCTTCCCCTGACACCCCCCGCGGTCCTGGCACTTCTGCCAGAGAGCTGGGTCAGGCACAGGGGATTCCCCTGCCACACCGCAGCTTCTGCCGGGAACAGGGTCAGAGTACTGGGGGCTTCCTCTGTCAGAGACTGTGTTGGGGGCTGCTGGGGGACTTCCCTCATGCCGTGGCTTCTGCTGGGGATGGATGGGGTTGGGTGCTGCAGGGGGCTTCCCTCATCCCGGGGCTTCTGCTGGCTATGGGATTGGGAGGCACGGGGGCTTCTCCTGCCCGGTAGGCGGTGGAAGCCAGTGGCCTCCCAATTGGCCAGGGCCCCTGGGCCCAGCCCAGTGGCTAATCCACCACTGTACCCGTTGCTCTGGGAGGGGTGGCTACAGGGAGGCGAAGGCAAATTTTGGGGTGGTACAGCCCCTGCGAACTCCTCTAGCACCACTTCAATCACTTCCAGAAAAGGCAAAGTGAGGAGCATCAACAGGAAGTTGCATATAATGTTTTTCCACTGTTTTTTACTGTAGCAGTTACACACATGTCGAGTGTATTGAGGGCACTCTCGAGTATTCACATTTGTACTAGAAATTAAACCGTAATGAGTTGATATTGAATTCTAGGACATTGTGAGTCCCTCTCCTGTACACTGAATAGGAGAGGGAAGATAGTCCATCCGGACTGTCTTTTGGGGACTATACAGATGGCCTGGGACCATTTGATGCTCATTTCTATGCATCACTAGTAATTTTTTATTATTATTATTTCTGATTTGGAGCTACATCTGTTAGTTCATTCATGTAATGCTAAGATATAGAGAGGTTTCAGACTAATACAGGGCTTCTCAAAATGTTTTCAAAGTGGAATACTTTTTAATAGCAAGATTTTCTCCTAAACCATCTCCCGTCCTATATGCAATAGTGCAAACCACATTCCACTCCCATTGCAATCATATAATATCCCTATTGCAGCTACACTTCTTTAAAAGAATGCCCAAATGCAGGAATGGATAGGAGATGAGGCTGCTGCACAAGTATAAATAAGGTAAGTATTTGGCCTGGAGAATCTTTATTACTGGCTGTGAGGCACAAGAAAGAAAGAAAAATAGCTTGATTTTCAGATCACAGATTGGGTTTGCATGGTTGACAGTTAAAAAAGACAACTTCATAAACCTCTACCCCAATATAACGCGACCCGATATAAGACGAATTCGGATATAACGCAGCGGTAAAGCAGCGCTGCGGAGGGGCGGGGCTGTGCACACCGGTGGATCAAAGCAAGTTCGATATAACACGGTTTCACCTATAACGCGGTAAGATTTTTTGGCTCCCGAGGACAGCGTTATATTGGGGTAGAGGAGACATACATGGTGGAGCCCCATTCTGCAGAGCCTGGACGACTGATTTCCAGTGATGGAGGATCTTGCCAAGTTTTCCCTCCCTGAATTCTCCAGTCTTTGATGCTGGTATTCCTTCCTGTACTCCTGTGGAGTTAATATTTATTCCTGCTCTTTTAGGGATCTGGTTTTATTTCCTCTTAGTAACTGTAACCAGTTATAACACACATTTTCTGTTTGCAGTATTTGAATTGTGAACTATGAGATGCTATTAGTAATTCTTTTTTGTCACTGAGGCTCTTTTGACTATATGTCAATATTAGTGTGGATATATTTATCTCTGGTATGTGTACAACTTTGTATTTTTTCTTATCCAGGAGAGAGAAACACTTTTGATGGCATTCCAGAGATGGAAGAGTTAAGGGTGTCTTTGTGTAATTTTGGTGACTCTGGTTGGGTAGGGTTGATTTACTAGGGGAATTGTTGGTGTATTTGTGTCAATGAGTGGACTAAAAGATGATTTATATTGGTATATGGCTTTTTTCTGTATATCCTGTTTTTTGTAGTGTTTGGAGTATGGCTTTATCATCCACTATTGGGGTTTCATGAAGCACAAAGTATTTTTGTTTGTTTTCCCTGTTTTTTTCAACGTTTAAATACAAATAGTAGATCTGAAAGTTTCAATTAATTTGTTGTACTATAACATTATCCGTTTTACTTCAATGAGAAATTGACCAGTTTACCTCACTTAATAATTGTATGTGGCAATGAGACAGCCACTAGCAAAGATACCTGCAATCTCCTATTGTTCCCCAGGGGAGTGAAACCACAGACTGTCCTTAGTCAGAATGGCTGCCATACATGTATAGTCTTTGAAAGTGGACACAAACGACTGCTCCTTGGAAAGATAGCCATTAATTCTTTTCCATTGTTTGCAATGCAGTTGAAGCCAGGCTGACCCCAGAAAAGTTGACCATCTCTTGGGTTCTATGGTTAGGAAATGGCAGGAAACTGGGAGGAGGCAGGGATTATTGGCATTGCAAGTGTTCATCAACATGTCCTTTTTGCTATACTGCTGCAAAGTGATTTGACACACTCCATTAAGCAAGCTAGTTAATTTAGTTGCCTTGGTGTGGGGTTTTCCCCAAAAAGTCTGATTAATCAAAAAATGGGAAAAACCAATCTGTATGTATTTTCAAGACATTATCTTCAGCCATTTTTCACCAAAATTTTATTTGAAAAAAAAAAGTGAATCAAAACTAGAAGGTTACAAAGGAAAAGTCTGCTGCCACCTTCAATATGGTTCATCTAGTATGCCACCATACTAGATGAACATTATGTAAGCATTTTTATAATTCTTAGAAATGTACTGTAAGATGTTCCCGTTCTGAATCTTATTCAATTTCAAAATTCAATTAAAATTGCTGACATTTTCTTTTTTTCCACCCTCTACAGGAGTAACAACTGTGTTGACAATGACAACGTTGAGCATCAGTGCACGAAATTCCCTCCCTAAAGTAGCTTATGCAACAGCCATGGATTGGTTTATTGCTGTTTGTTATGCATTTGTATTCTCTGCATTGATAGAATTTGCCACTGTAAATTACTTCACAAAACGAGGATGGGCATGGGATGGAAAAAGTGTAGTCAATGATAAGGTAAACACATTTATATTTCCAGTCAATTCTAAGAAAATAGCTTAACAGATATTTTGATAGTTGGTTATTACTGAAAAAATACTTGAATTTTCAAACCAATAGAAAGGTTATGACTTGTGAGATGAAAGTAGGTGTGGATAGAAAGATATTGTAAAGTGTGTGCTCAAATTGCCAAACTCTAGCAGAAATTAAACTGCATACAGGAACTTTCTCTAGCAGGCTGTCCTTGGAGAAATGATTATTGTGTCAAGGCTCTCTCCACATTGATCAATAGCCTATTTGAATCTCGTTAAATGTCAAAAAATATAAAATCTGAGGTTACACCACATTATGTTCCTGAGTCCTTCATGTGGAAATGAATAAAATCAGAGTAATATTTCTGTAAAAAATCTTTATTCAGACTTAATGAAAATAAGCTTCCTACACTTGCATCCATTACATTTCAAAACATTGGAGATACTGTCACATTCTCCCAACTTCTTTATTTCCTTGTTTGTTTTATAGTTATCCATTTCCCTCTTGTTCTTTATCGGCATTACTGTGAAGAATGAGGGAGTTATATGTAGGGTTTTATTTATAAATATAATTTGCTCCTCAGGTTATGTCTGATATTAACCTGCCCAAATGCCAGGAGTTAAATCAAAGAGGGTGTTAAGGGGGAAGCAAACAGGAACCAAAATAGTGTCTCCTTAAGGGATTAAGGGGGGTAAACTATTAATTAGGGAATGGCCCTGCTTAGCTCCCACCAGGCTGCATAGTTTACTCATCCTGAGGCTGAAGGCCTAGGATCAAAGGGGGTCCCAAAATCTTAAAGATGCTGCCCATGGGAATGACAGGGGGCTGCCGAGGGAGTGACAGGGAGAACTAACAGTCAGACAAGGAGACACCGAGGCAAAGTACGCATGCTGCAGGCAGGAGAGTCTGCTCCTCCCAGCTAGAGATGGGAGTTAGCTGGGTTAAGGGCAACTTACAAAAGTGTTCAAGGAAAGATTAAAGTGTAGGTAAGGGACAATATACGTGTAGGACTCTTTGTTGTTTAACCCTTTGCTCTGTGTGCTTTCTACTTTTGGGTTAATGAATAATGCTTTGTTTTGAAGACACTGTTTCTGAGTCACTTCAAACTTATATTGTCGCGGACACCTGGAGGGAAAAGGTTTATAGGTGCCAATCTCAACTGGGGCTGTTTAGCTAACAGGTTGAGAAATGGGGGAGAGGGCTTGCAGCCTAGAGACCCAGTCTCAGTGTGGCTGGACAATGTGATTCCACTCAGAACAAGGTGCAGGAGGCCAGCTCTGTCACTTGAGGCGTGCACTCAAGAGAGACTGTCCCTAACCATAGCACGTGCAAAATCAGCAAATTCTAGATGGACCAGAGTGTTGTGAGCAGCAGTGCAAGGAGGGCGGTATGGTCCGGTATGCCGTACCAGCAAGATATTTATAACTGGTACGGCGTACCGGAAAGAGGAGGAGCAGAATGTGGGGCTGCTGGGGGGCCCCACGCCGGCAGTTCCTCCGGTGCAGCTGAACTGCCCCAGCCCTTCCATGTCGGGTCTCCTCCCTCTGTCCAGCAGCCAGCCCCGCTGGAGGACAGGGCTGGGGGAGTTACAGCCACTGGAGATTCTGCCGGCATTCTGCTCCTTTCCCCGCTGTGGTTCCTGGGAGAGCCCTGAACCGATGCTACCGGGTGGCCCCATGCCGGCAGCTCCTCTGACATGGTTACCATACCGCCTCCAGCCCTGCCCCTCCCCCCGCAGCCCTGTCCCCTGGCGGGGCTGGCTGCTGTACAGAGGGAAGTCTCCTGCGCAGTGGGAGGAGGACAGAGAACCTCCACTCCCCAGGTAAGGGGGGTGGATCATAGGAGGGGATGGGGAGGCGCGGGCTGGGGGCAGGGCAGGGAGAAGTCACGTGGAGGGTCACATGAGGATGTCCTGTGTCCCCCATGGAGGGGGGAGTGTACCAGTAAGAAATGGATTCCACTTGTATCACTGGTTGTGAGGAACTTTGCAAAAAATAATAGAACTTGAATATGGGCCTGTTATCTAGATCCCAGAAAGCATGGAAAAATGCAAGCACATAATGGTCCTCTGACCAATTTAATTTCAGAAGATGAGGCCTGTTTAGTTTTTATGAATCTCTTACGCTACCTGAAATTTCGTCTTGTCCATCTTATCATCACCCGAATGAGTAGCTCGGTCTGGCAAGGGTGCAAGTAAGTGCTGATCATTAGTATGACTTCTAAGCATAATGGAGGAAGCTGAGAGTAGGAGGAAAGACAGCCTGGTAGGCTGGCAAGAATAGCCTGTCCGGACTAGGTAACAAGGTATTATGCAGCTAGGAGTGACAGAAATTGTCTCCTTAAAACTCAGGACACATTTCTCAGTGGCTGGCCCGTGTGGCTGCTTTGCCTCTGAGTTTCTTTCAAATGCAGCTCGTAAACACACTCCAGACAAGCAGTAGGAGTAATGGAAAATCATTAAAATGCCAGCACCTTACTCATGGTTTTTACTGATTGGATTGCATGTAAACAGCTGTGCTCTGACCACATTGTGTCTCAGGCACTGTTGCCCCTTGGTCACGGCCACTTTCTCCCTAAGCCATCAGTGCTGAGTTTACTGCAGTTCAGGTTTGTTCATGGTGCTGATCCTTGTGCACGTTTGTCTGCACTATGCGGAACCCTCTTTGCTCAAGTTCTCAGTAACAGCTCTTTTTGCACTGGCAGCTCTCATCAATCTGCAAGAGAGTCAAGAAAATATTATTTGGCTCCCTATGGCCATCCAGAAAGCGATACTTTACTACAATCGTTACTTTGACTCTGGTTCAATTTGCTTAATATTCAGTTGAATGTTAGGCTTTCTGAGATATCATAGGGAATAGGTGTTAATAGTTTGCTGTTCTCTAGCATTCTTCAAATATCACAGAGCACTTTACAAACCTTAATAATGTAATTAAGCCTAGCAGCGCATGTGGTAGCTCTGAAGTATTCTCATTTTACAGATCAGGAAAAAAGACATTAGTGAAGTAACTTGTTCAAGCTCACACTGTGAGACTGTGGCCAACCAGAAACCAAGACTTGCCATTCCTGACCCCCAGTCCTGTGCTCTAGCCTCTAACATACACTTCATCCATTCGGTTAATTGTAACCTCTTGTTGGTTGGAAAGCTCAATCTGAAATTCCATTTTTACACTATAGGACAACTTTCAAAAGTAGGAGTCTAAGGAGCACTTGCAAAATAAGAATGCCGTTATTAAACAGTTATCTTCATGCATCAAATAGTTGCACGCACAGAAACTTGGTTTGCATAAATAACTGCATATTTTGCACACGTAATCACCTTTTTTGTGCTTACAGGATCTGCATAGTCTATAAGCACAACTTCGGCACTTCTTATTGAAAACGTGGTCCTGAATATTTTACCCTGCAGACTCCTTGCCTATTATTAGCTTTTAGGCCCAAATCCAACACCCATATAAGTTAGTGGAAAGACTCACATTGATTTCTGTGGGCATTAAATTGAATCTTTAGTTTCCACAGTGTGACTGCCTGCCTCCACAAACAAGCTGAAATTAGTGTATGTTCTATTCTTAGTGCCAACAAATGACATCTTAATGAATCAATTCAAGATCAAATCTTCAGTCACACTCTTGGATTTACTGAAAACATATAGTTATAACACATAGTCATATTACATACTGTAATAGCAGTAGCCAAGACACTACGAGACTTACAACAATATCTTGCAATAACTCTCATTATAATATTTCATTTAAGAAGTCTCCACACACCAGAATTTTGTGTGCTCTCAATTTATATATTATCAAATCCTAAACATACTTAGTTTAAGACAAAATTCCTGCTGAAGTCAACAGAAATTTTGCCTGAATTAGAAGTTCAGGATTTAGCTCATTTATTTTAAATTCTGAATAAAAACATACTAATATTGATGACACTTTGGCTTGTTGCACCTGTTTTCAAATCACTTAGACTCCATTATTAAACATCCCTTTAAAGTGAAGTAGGTATTGGTTATTGTCCAGTTGTGTTTCTAGCTCATCAGACATTACTCACTTTAACTTATATTGTTTCTCAAATAAATTATAATTTGATTCTTGTCATTTTTCAAGACCAGTGCCATTTAATATAATCCAATTGGAGTGAAGGTAGCAAAGAGATCACAGAATATGAGAAATAATGTATATTAAAATGAGTGATGTCTGAGGATCAGAAACACAATTGGATGATACCAGACACATACTGCTAATTGTAATGGATTCCAGAGGATTTGAAAACAGCTCAGTTAGCCAAAAGCAGTGTAGACATACCCTCAGGGACTCCTTAGACCAACAGAAGTTTGAATCAATTGAAAACATAAAGTACTTTTGATATTGGTATAGAGGGGACAGTGTGTGAGGAAACTTTTAACTTTTAATGTAATAGTGTTTTAATCACCTGATTACATTGCATTATTGCAAGATTTGGTGTCAAGTCCTGTAAATCGTTATTGTAAATAACACAGAACAAATACTATTGCTATCTCTTGACTTTACATTATTTTATTTTATTTAATATCAGGGTTGGAAGGGACCTTAGGAGATCATCTAGTCCAACCCCCTGCTCAAAACAGGGCCAATCCCCAGACAGATTTTTATCCCAGTTCCCTAAATGGCCCCCTCAAGGATTGAACTCACAACCCTGAGTTTAGTAGGCCAATGCTCAAACCACTGAGTTATGTAGTTACTCTCTCTACCGTACCCTCATTCAGTTAATGAGAGAGAATCTCTGCTAAGGAAAACTTCAAGTTGTGGTTGCTCCTGACCCAAACCTGGGTACAATATTATATATTTCCCTAATAGAAGTGAAGCAAAGATTAACAGTTAATGTTTGCACAGTGCTTTAAATATGTAAAGTGGAACATATAAGTGCAAAATATTATATTAATAATAAGGAAGAACTGTAGAAAAAGTGACAGTGTATCCTTTCTTAACACCTGTTGCTCCTAGTGAAGAATGAGGTACCCACAACTTCAGGCATCACTTTCTAGATTCTAGAAATAGATCCTGAATCACTTACCAACAGATTATCTGCATGTCAAACAAATGCAGCTTTTCTGACTGGCACATTGACACTCCATTATAAATGATGTAGGAAGACCTTCTGAACTCTCCAATCATCCTTCAACTGTTTCTTTAAATTAGTGTAACAGTGTTCTTGCATGATCTCAGAAGTGGCAGCTGCTTAACAGATAAAGTATGCTTTCCCTGGGCAAAACGAGCAAAATTCAAGTGACCCAGCATCAACAGCGTGTCTTCTCAAGTTGTCATTCTTGATCTTAAATGCCCTTTCCTTGTGAGCAGGGTAGTTGACCTGTTCCTTATTTTATTTCTTACAACTCTCAGATGTAATGATGTGGAATCTAGCTCTGTTCCTATGTAAGTGACTACTGTAGGAAGTCATTCCATCCTTTCTTTCAGTATTGCTACCTTAATTCTACTGCTCATGAACTGTCCATTCTGAAATTCATCTAGTTCTTATATGACAAGATTAGTTCTATAAAGGCTACTTACCAATTGTCAATTGAAAATATTCTGTCTTTTAACAACCTATTCAATAATTACAGTCTTCCCATACCCAATTGTCTAAATATTTGAAAATTAGAAATTTCCTTCAGAACAAAATCATATTGGGGTTTTCTACAGTACTGAAATATCTATTTCCCTGTAATCATCTAATGACTAAAAGTTAAGCTTTCAATATTTCAATTGTTTCTAATACCAAACCCACAATTTATCATTATGTAAAAAATCCCATTAATGGGACTACAAATACTGTAGTAAATATTTTAAAATCACACTTCCTGGGTATGAAAAAAGGGATTTTGCAGATTAGCTAATATGGATCTCTCTCTCTTTCTCTCTCTCTCCTTTTTCTCTCTGGTTTTACACACCCTCACCATGAACACAACACAAAGCTCAGCCACTTCCAGCTAATAAGCAATGTGTCAGGGTCAAGGGGAAATGACTGTGTTTACATTCCACTGAGGTTCTTTTCTAACTCTGAAGTAGGCTTGGAATTTGTATTTCATGGGGGAACTGAGGTGGGGGTCATAGGAATTTCCATAGTACATAGCAGTCCACATTCACACTCCAGTCAGTACACCAATTCACACCATACTCCACATGAGGTGAGAACTGGAATGAAACTCAGCAAGGGGAATCTGATCACATTTCCTCCCCCTAGGCCACCAACAGCAGTGTTTTTTCCATGGAATATAGGCTACATCTACAGTTCACACCACTGTTGTGGTGTGTGAGGGTATGTGTAGTTACACACCGCAGTGAAAGGCAGGCTGTGTCTACACTGCTGTATATAGCTGCCTAAATGGGTGGTGGTGTCTCCTGGAAAATTGAGTCTTTTAAGTCCAGATCTTGAACCTCCTTGCATGTAGTCAGACTGTTGAAGCCAGGCCAGTGAAGTCAACCTTGCTCTGTTCAGACAGAACACTTTGCAAGATGAGGGCCTATTTTCCAGGGGGAAAAAATGACCCAAGACATGGCTCAGACTTGTATGTGTTTACCTACATTTGCTCACTCATTCCTATATCTGATTGACACCATTTTAGAAAAGGTAGATTATCAGGTCTACTATTACATTTGCTTTTTGCGTAGTCAAAGATGTCACCATCAAGGAATATAGGCCAAAATATAGAGTTTGTGTAACTTAAGCTTTACAACATTTAATATTAACAGAAATATTTTTTCAGGTGGTTGGATTGTTTAAAAAAATGCCAGTAAAGGCAATTTTTTGTTTTTGATTTGAACATTTCACTACAGCGTTTGCAACTCAAACATTGCAGCATTGTGTTAGCACAGAAGAAAAAATATAAATTGAAAAAAACATGGAAATTATTTTTCAAAACCATGTGCCAAGCAGAATGAAATACAAAAAGTAAGCAAATAGGAGAGATGGTGATTAGATTTTAAAAATGTGTTCTTTTGTATAACCTCGGAGCTGATCCTGGGTAGTGCATGAAAGAGAGTGGAAAGGTTTTTTTGGACCACAGTTGTTGAAAAGCCATAGCTTTGTTAGTTCACATCTTGTTCAGGTATCCATGTTATGGTATATAGACAGCCAACCTACCTGTACAGACTACAGGTTTGTACTTTTGTGTATTAAGGGGATGAAGGGTCAGGGTGCGGAGGTGGCCATTAGCAGGCCTCTTTACCCTTACCTTCAATCCTGACATCAGATCTGGGGCAGGGGTAAGTAGATATATACCTCAGGTAGTGATGATAATGGGAAGTAGGGCTGTTACTCACTCACAGATATCTCTTCCCTAGGTTTTAGCCATTGCAGGATTTTAAAATATCCTTAGCCACCCGAGCAAGCAATATAAATATAATTTAAAATATATGCAAATAACCGGAGTATCTTAAATAATTGAGTATCAGGGGGTAGCCGTGTTAGTCTGAATCTGTAAAAAGCAACAGAGTGTCCTGTGGCACCTTTAAGACTAACAGAAGTATTGGGAGCATAAACTTTCGTGGGTAAGAACCTCACTTCTTCAGATGTAAGAACCTCACTTCTTGCATCTGAAGAAGGGAGGTTCTTACCCATGAAAGCTTATGCTCCCAATACTTCTGTTAGTCTTAAAGGTGCCACAGGACCCTCTGTTGCTTTTTAAATAATTGAATTACAGTACGAGTTTGTATTTTTATTGGTGTGGAATTATGGGGTGAATGAGTAATGCAAACATTAGATTTGGGGGAGAGAGAGATGTCCCACTTCCTAATTTTTATATTAATGTACTGACAGATAACCTTAGTCATCTGGCTGTGCAATCAGTCTTTAATTATCCCCTCCAGCAGTCGTCGTAATAGTCCTTTCATTTCACTATGGTAGGAACTGGGCATTAGTTCAATGAGAGTGGATTATATCATTCTCACCTACCTTTTTTTTCTGGTGGTGGCCCTTTTGCTGATCCATTCCCTGCTTCCTGTTTACTATTAGCTCTATCAGAACAGTGGGCCTCAAGTCAAGACTAGAGACTGAAGCTGGCTCCTACTCAATCAATCTAGGTAGTAGCCAGTCCTTCAAAGATATCCACCATCATGGACCCTTTCTCCCCTGGAGACTCCTGTTGACTTCAGTGGGACTCTGTGTGGGCATAAGGGCCTATGCTTCCAGATTTCTTTACTAGATTGAGACACTATTCTGTAGCTTCCATCTGGGAGACTGAGGGCATCGTCTACATGTGCTTTGTCAATCACCAACATTTATTTTTCCATCTTCACTTTTAAAAAAAACACATTTGAAATGCTGTTTTATTGAATCTGATTTGGTAAATGTCCCATGCAGTAAATATTTAACTCCATGCTGTCTTCCAATAGAAAAAAGAAAAAGCATCTGTCATTAAGAAAAACAATGCCTATGCAGTGGCTGTTGCCAATTATGCTCCAAATATTACCAAGGACTCAGTGCTACCAACAATCTCCAAGAGTGCTACAACCACAGAACCCAACAAGGCAAAGCCAGAAGCCAAGCCGCAAGAAGCAAAGAAAACATTCAACAGTGTTAGCAAAATTGACAGAATGTCTAGAATAGTGTTTCCAGTCTTATTTGGTACTTTTAACTTAGTGTACTGGGCTACATATTTAAACAGGGAACCTGTCTTACTTGGGTTTGCTCCCTCAACCTAAAAGCTAAATTACACTGGGGATGTATAGAATCATTATATCAGATAGGTTGTTTTGCTATGTACAGTACGACTAATAACTGCTAATCTGTGAACCAATATGTACAGAGTGTATATAGATAACTTATCCGTGTATCTCCAAAGGAGACACACAATGTTTATTCATGGATCTGTAAACAGATAACACCCATGGCTAATATAGCCAGCTCTTTAGAAGTTCTACCCAGGGGATTTCCTCAAAACTGGGATTCAAATACACAGAATTATATCTTCTCCATACAATTAGAGGAAAATATGGTCCTGCATAATTATTTAGGAACAGTATTTTTTTAATTTAAAGTTAAAATATTTTTCTATAAAATAACTGATTCTACTTTAATGGGAAAAGCTGTCATTAAAAATGATTTTTTTAAAAAACTTATTTCATACAATGGAAGTGCCCATGTATATTATAGAGTGATGAGCTCAAACTATTCTGTTGTTCACAACCATTTTGGAAAGTAGTTACGTTTAAAACTTAGTAAAGAGTATTGGAATGCCAAGGCCATTAGTTCCTTACTTCTAGACCTGCTTTGAACTTGTTAATGAAGTATTCCAACTAATTTAAGTGAGCAGTAGTGATTAATCAAATTTCTAGCATCAATCAACTTCCACTAGAAAAACTGTTTTATTTTCCCCGGTGTTTGTTTCTCTGAGGTTGCTGAACCAAGTTCTCTTATTCAGCAAGGTCAGAAAAGGTGGTTTTTTTTTTTTGTTTTTTTTAATTAGATTGATGTCAGGCTCATAAATATTGGTAATTGACACTCAGAAATTTTTCAGGGTCAAGCATATCAGAAACATAAAATGCTCTTTTTCCTGCTTAGTATTTACAGGAAAATCTGCCTTAAAAAGGCTTCCTCACATCTGCCCATAGAAGCCACTGTTTTCAAAGGAAACAGCAGTTTGTGATTGCAATCCAGGAAGTTGTCCTCATGGATAAGATTTATTGCTGCTTTTGTAAATTGCAACTTTACATTTCACTGACATAACTTAACAACTTTATATACTAGAAAGGGTTTTGCTAAGATTTGAATGTTATTTTTAATAAACTGCAGTGCATCATCAGTAATTGTCAATTATTTTATACACAAAATATAACAAAATTGGAGCTGCCGTTTGCAATTTTATATGAATATTTAATGTTAGTAAAATTAATTTTCATCTGAACCTTTGCAAATATTCCTTATGCCCTGAAAGGCCTGGTAAATTATGGCATAACTAATAATTGTGCACTGTATTTAGATTTTAATATACTTGGCCAATCAAAAATATTTTGATTCACATATACATTAGCAGTTATTAGTTGACCTTTTAAAATAGATGCACCTTTATGATGGTGTGTTTACAGTAGAAACATATGTCATCGTATAGTGTCATTTATTGCAGTTTTGTACAGTACATGAGTATAGTGCATAAAATAGGTATGTTCAAAGTTTGACAAACTTGTACAAATATTTCTAAAATGAATAAATGAATTATCTTAAGACATGGAAACTAGCAAAAACAAAGAAGAAGAATCAAACCTTGCATTTTTTGCTGTTTAATTTTCTTGTCTTTTCTTTGTTTTTAATGTGATTCTATTTTGTGCTTTGCATGACAGTATAGATGCCAAGGTCACAAATGCATTTTATTAGTAGACTTTACAATGAAGACAGACTTGACTTTAGTCAAACAAGATATTCCATATGACATCAGTAAAATAGAAGGGAGAACCACTGGTGAAATGTGTATTCCCTTCATCCCCTCTAATAAATCCATCTTAATTCATCAACGATAGTTGAAAAACAAGCACTTTACTCAAAACATTAAAATAGAAATATCCTTATTTTCATATATTATATTTATATATAAATGTAGATCTTCCATGTAATACAGAAATGTGTGCAATAGGGTGATGAAGTGTGTAAGGTTTGAAGGCAAGCAATAAAAAGTTTTTTCATGGTATAATTATACATTTTAAAAATGTTTTATTTGTAAACTATAAAAGATCCCTTTAATGTCATAGTGTCCAGGTATAACATATATACATATGTACATATGTAGAATATTTGTAAATATTGGTCCTGTAGAAAAATCCTTTCATGTTTCTCTCTGTTTCTGGCAAAGGGCTCTGACTATGTGGTATAGTGGAGGCCCAAGCTTATCTGCTCTCAGACTCTGAGTAGGTTGATTACTGTTTTCATGTACCTTTGGGCACCATCCTGCAACCTGATGGGAGCTCTCAACTCCCATTAACTTCAACAGGAGTTGAGGACTCTCAGCACCTCACAGGTTTGGGCTTATAAAGAGTAAGATCTGTATTCTACCCCAGTTACATCCCAGATAGCTTAACAAAGTTAGGTTTGCTGTCTCAAATAGTGGGAAGTCAGAACTCTGCCCTCTAGATACATGAGCAGTGCTTAATTTGTGCCAGGGCTGAGCCCCAGCCCAGCACCTTTGGGCTTGTTGAATCAGTCATGAATATAAAAAAAATGACTTGAGCCATGGCACATAATTGCTAGAGCTCTGGCACTTCTTTCATTACAAATTAAGCACTGTATATGAGTGTGTCCAGAGGTGCATTTAATTATGTGATGGGAGAGAGCTGTGTATCCTTGTGTTTTTTTTTAAAGGAATACACACAGAGGTATCTGACTTACAGAATCAAGCAAGTCCTTTCATCGCTTCAGAAAATTAACATGCTTAATTTATAGCTGCATTGGGCCTGCTGTAAATTGTGCACCTTCAGCTTCACAGAGGGCCTGCTTCCGTTCCCACCTAAATCAATGGGAATTTGAGGAGCAGGGTCAGAAATAATGTGTTAGGAGCAACTATTTAATTCACTGAACAGTCCCTATGGACTTGTGCAACACTTAGAGTAAATTGCATAACCACCAGACCTTTAGCACATACTTTAGACGTAGAAAAACAAAACCATTTAAATGCAATCTATGTGCACAAATATGCTTTCAGAGAACTACATGCAGCTCCTGCTGAAGTCAGTGGGATTTGCAAGGGCATATCTGAAAGCGGAGTTTCAGCTCAAAGTCTTGTACAGTTGGTCTAGATTTAACGTTGGCTTCTTTTGTTTATTGCATTTTAAGCAATTTCTGTCAGTTGTCCTTATGATTCCAATGTTAAATCGTTTATGATGATGAAAATGACTAAAAATAAATCTGATGAGTTCTTAAGAGTGACAACTGTATAGCTGAATGCGAAGATTTAAATAAACACAAGACCTTAACACGAATTTTGAAATGCCAGCATTAGGGGGTTTTTTTAATTCACTTAAGTCTGTGACCAAGATTTTTCAAACCTGGTACCAAAAAGTTAGACTCTTAAATTCATATTTAGGCACTTTTATAGATGCTGAGCACTTGGCGTACATCTACAACACGCGAAAAAACACATGGCTGGCCTGGGTCAGTTGACTCGGGCTCACAGGGCTTGGGCTGCGGGGCTGAACAATTGCTGTGTAGATGTTAGGGTTTGAGCTGGAGCCAGAGATCTGGGACCCTACACTCTTCCAGGGTCCCAGAGCTCAGATTCCAGCCAAGCCCGAATGTCTGCACAGCAATTTTTAGCCCCACAGGCGAAGCCCTGTGAGCCCAAGTCAGCTGACTAAGGTGAGCTGCGTACGTGCTGCGGGTCTTTTATCCCTGTGTAGACGTAGCCTTGGAAGACTGATCAATTTCAATATGATTTGTTAATGTTAAGCAATTCCAAAAATCAGCCCACTTTTATTTAAGAGATTTATTTATGGATGTAGGAACCTAAATTTGAATTTTTGGCCTAACTTCTGTCCCTTTCTAGTTTATTCCCACCCCCTCTACCCTCCCAGGCCATCCTCCCAAGCCTTCTATAGCATTTCTTACATGATCCAAAAACCAAATACACTAATAATTTAAAAGTTTAAAAAAATAAATAAAATGGCCTAACATTGTGGTAACTTGCACTGGGCTCAACAGGGTTCCAAGCCAGGGTTAAAGAATAGCTTTTTGATGTAGGACTGCAACATTTACTCCTTGATGCATAAGGCTAGAGAATAGTACCCAAATATTAATAGTAATTTGGAATTAGGGGGTGAGAAAAGATAGAGAGCTCTGGGTTTATCAGCCTTGGCACCCTCTGTGGTAGTCTCCTGTCTTAGTGCATTTGTTGTAATGCACTGGCTTCCAAACATTCTTGTTGATATTTTCAGACACACAAAATAACCTCACCTTTCATTTATATTTAATGCGGCTGCAAACTCCTGTGCTATTGTGATGTTTTATTTATGTCCTCATGTTCTCCCAGCACTTTCGTGCAAATTTTTGGCCTTATTCAAATTGGCCACCATGTCCTATTATTTCAATTGGTGTGAAGTTACATGGGCCCAGATCTTCACAGGTATTTAGTCTCCTAACTTCCATTGAAATCAATGATGCTCTCAGGGAAAATGTCTGCCATGAAGGCTCTGTTGTAGTTTGGAAACTGGCAGAGAAACTATGTGCAGTTGGGGGAGGTAGGCAGAATACTGAAGGGAGTGCAAGAGAAAGAGAAGGTTGAGGAAGAATGTGAAGAGAAGGGGTCTGAAGGGAAACAGTGGAAGGATATGGGCTCAGGAGACTGTGGGTACTTGAAGTGAGAATGTGAAAGGTACAGGTAATTGGTTGAGCAGTGTGGGGAGCAATTGTGAAGAAATGGGGCAGCGAGGGATAGAATGGCAGCTCCACTTTTCCAGAGGAGATGGTAAGTGGAGTCCCTTTCTAAACAGCCCTTGGGAAAGCTTACGTACCTTTGTGTTTGCATTTGAGGTTGGATTTTAAACCTGCAGTTATCACACACCAACTGTGGGCAGACAGCTTTGCACTAAAGGCTAAAAGGCAGATCAGACCCCAATAGATTTTTGTAATCATGATTTTTTTGTGATCTGACTCCTAATCTTGAATCCTCTGGATTGGCAATGCCACTAACCACTTCATAAATATTATGTGCTTAATTTTGTGCTCTTCCATCTCTTCACAACTCCTGAAAAGAAAACAGATACGTCAGGAACAAAATAAATCCTGTTAGTTCCCAATACATTTTCCTCAGGTCGTATGTAATGCCTTATTTTGAGGACCTAAGTGGAGCCTCAGAGGTGCATTGGCCCTCTGCACAATCACAAATACCATTATTTGCACTTTTTTTAGAATCTGCACTCCTAACTTAAGTGTTTATGTGAAAAATAATTCTATATCTGGATATGAAATTATGATCAGTCCCAATCCCACTTTGAGTTAAGACATGGCCCATACTACCAAAGTTCAGATCAGCAGAACACAGAGCCATGAAGCCGAGCAAAAAAAGATGTTAAAGTGAATGTTATTGGCAGAACCAGGAAGGTTATTTAATTCTTCCTTCAAAAACAGCGAGTAGAAGGATAAGTGTGCAAACATAGGAACAAGTCTAAATAGAGTCCACAGTGATCAGGGCTTTATCATTTGATATCACAGAAATAAGGAACTCTAAATTTTGGTTAAAAAGAAGTCTTTTGAAAAACCTAGAATCATTAATCAAATTATGTTTACCTGAAAAACTATTACTAGTTAGGGTTCCAAATAAGGGAACCTATTAATTCAAAAATATCAAAGATTTTTCCTCAGGAACTGTATAATGGGTCTTCCATTGGATAACTAATTTTCAACATAATTTTAAGCTTTAAAATACTTTCTGTTATGCTAATTTTATTATATATGGCTGGTGACTTTTTTCTTCATTATTGTATATAAATCCAAATCCCTAACAATTGGAAAATATGGTTTTATTATCCTGAATTTAGATTTCTAAATTACAGTTTCATAAGGATTTTCAGGGATCCACGAGTGAGCTGACAGATTCCGCACTTCACAAATAGGGGTGCAAAAGGCAAACACTTTGAGACTTAATTTTGGGAATGGCCCATGCTAATTGCATTGATAGCTTGTTTTGCTCTGCTTCTATTGTATAAATATTTATCTTTCACTTTATTTTCAACAAAACCTCCATTTATTTTTAAACTTAGGTCATGCTTCTGTGCTCAGAGCCACCTGGTGGATCCTTGTGCCCATGTGGTTCTCAATGCAGGATCAGAGCCTTACTTGAGAAGTATTCACTTTGAGGGCCTGATCTTGCTCCCACTGAGATCAGTGGCTAAACTCCCATTGATCTTACAGGACTTTGGTTACATTCTAAGGACCTATCCATGCACTACAGAAGTCAATAGAAGTCTTTCCATTGACTAATGGGAGTCAGATCCAGCCCTCCCTGGGAGTTCCTCGATTATTTACCTTTTCACACTGAGAAGATGAACTTTTAAATAAAGGAAGCAACCACATTTAAAATTGGGCCTTGATCATGCCTGTTTTACTCCCAGTACTGTATTGATGTTGGTTTATGAATATTGTGAAAATATTATGGATTACAAGTGGGGAATAACACTTGTGAAAACATAGGAACACATAATTTGAAATGTGTTTTAAAATATGCAAGATGGTTCATACCCTTCTCCTAGTGCTGGTGTCTACATACACACATACAAATATTTTTATTCTGTAACTTGATGATTAATTATTTAAATGAAGCTATACTTTGAAATGTTAATTGCTTATTTTACATAACTTTGTGAATTCTTCACTCTTGTCAGTTGGCCTGGGGCTCATGTATATGCATTAAAGGTGTTCAAAGATTTCACTAAATGATTTTGTAGACTGTTAAAGGAGGTACGCTTCAAGGGTCATCTTTGTTTTCCATCTTATGGTTTTAGGCTTTCTGGGATGGATTCAAATACAGAATGGAATAAGATATTGCTTTGATTCTCTGGTTTTTGTAGTTTTGTATTTAGATGTTCATTTTGGCTGAATTAATCAGTTAACAGGCTACTGTAGATTAGCTTTAGAACTGAATGCAACTTAGTACTTTACAGCTATATATTAGAATCCATATGTACAGTACACACAGTATAAACTATTGAATAAATAATATCCAGCTGCTAAACAAAAAACTTCCACACATAGTCACTTTACTCAGAATTGTTTGAGGGCACTTTAAATTTAAATTTATTTGTTGGAAGTGATCACACTAAATATTAATACACGTGCATTTACAAATTCAAGTTTGATTCAGAGAGAAATCATTGGTAGTAATTTCTCAACTAAATGGGAATCAGAACATACCTAAACACTTGATGGTAAGTTTATTTCAGTGTGTCACCAGGGCTTGAAAATGTATAGGAGCTTGAAGAATAGCTGCTTAGTATATATTGCTAAGTAACAGGAAATAATAAGAAGGAAGTTGATGCATTTAAAAAAAAAAGTCACAATTTTAAATATAAAGCACATGCACAATAAAGAAACTGCATGTTAAATGTAAGTATACTTAACCTTGAACATCAACATCATATAAAAACTTCTGGGTGACAGTTCACTTATTTATTAGGTTTCATAATTATAAATAAATAAAGGGGATGATAATATTCTGTAATTTGTGACCTTGTTTTAACTGGACAGAGTTGTTACTTTTTTAAAAGTGTAAAAGAAATAACTTGACTTATGTTTGAATGTGTCACTTTGCTTGCTGTTAAAGAATATTTATTAACCACATGCAAAATATTGCTTAACATTATCTTTTTGTACTACTTATTAAAAGTTAATTTAAATATACTACATTTTGTTTTTTATTTTAATTGAACAGCATAACTGTTTGACACTACTCATGACTTTTCTCTTCAAGTGAAAGAATTTTAGACTCTGCAAAGGTGTTTTTTAGTTAGAGATGGAGTTGACAGCAAAAAAAGAATATTTTGGAAGGAAAACATTCTTGGGGGTTTTCTGATGTTATTTGCTATTTCATTAAGGAATGTTTTTTGTTTTCATTTCAAACATTAAGCTGGCTGTTGTACGCCAACACATTGACTCAAAGCCTTCATTAATGAGGGTATATTAAAATTAGTGAGACTCTAATGGGAGCAGGAGTTCCTAACATTTTAGCACTTGCAGTCTTAAAACCACCAACAACCCATATTGCAGAATATTTTGCAGCTTCTGGTTTATTCCCAATCTAAGTCACCATTTCAGAACAGACAAAACAGTGAAACATCAATGCAACAACTGGACCAATCCTTAGATTCTATAACAATCTAATATTATATTTATCATCTCTTAATTTGTTGCATCATATCAGATTATATAGAAAGTCCACATTACACAATAGTTCAGCACATTATAGATGTAACACTATAAGAAATTGCATTTATATCACATTTATTTATATGAGTTGTTAATATTATTTAACATTTGTATATATAGTCACAGTTGTGCATGATACTTTACATAGAAATAATAAGATGCAGTCTGCCCTGAGGAGCTTTTACTGGACGGACATTATCTTGCAAATCCATATGTGTATAAATAGTCCTATGATTTTTAGGAGTGGGTCCTGAGCTGAGTATTGCAAGATGGGATGCAGAAAGTGTTGACACATACCCCAACTAAGAAAGGTTTGCAGCTGGAACCTCGTCACTGAAAACCAAAAAAATCCTACACTCATTTAGTTAGAAGCATGGGCAGGGGATAGATGATGGAGGCAAGTGACAAAGATAAACAGGCAGCCTTGGGGCACCAGCTGTACCACTTTGCTAGTTGGTGTAGGTGAGTGACATCATGAAAAAGAGCCAACTGGCCAATGGGAATGAGGCTTTGAACAATCAGTGTCCCCAACCACACTAGGATTCAAATGGTTTATCTATGTATGTGGATAATGAGAACATTGGCATTTATATTAGATGTGGGTTTTTTTTAATATAAGGGAAGAAAGGTCTCAGTAGTCATAAATTGGTGTGGGGGAAGTGTAGACTTAATGAACTTTCTTCAGAAGCATTTTGGCTACTGTCAGAGACTGGATACCAGATGACATGGCCCACTATTATGATCTAGTGTGCTAATTCCCATGTTCTCTGTCACCCTCTGTCTGCCCATGTCCATTCTTGTCTCACCATTACTGTAACCAGAGGCGGGAAGTAAAATTATCAGAACCTTTAATCCTAGGAGTTATTTGGAATAGGAAGCTTTTCATGTCTCCATGTCACATTCAACGATTCAGGAAACGCAGAGGACAAAAAAAGTAAGTACAGTGTCTGCTTTTGAGCTTAAAGATTCTGAATGGGATAGACCTTAAATATTTCAGAAATGGTAACCCCACATCTGTAACTGCAATCTACCAAGGCAAGTAGTGCTGCTTCCTCGAATAGTGTCCCTATGGGTGCTCCACTGTAGGTGTGTCTGCGCTGATTGGAGAACTTCAGTAGCAGTGTCCGTTAGGCCCACGCAGGTGTGGTGTCTCTTCGTGCTGCGCCATGAGGTTAGTCAGTGCGCGCAGGCTAATCCCCCTCAGTCATAGAATCATAGAAGCTTAGGGTTGGAAGGGACCTCAGGAGGTCATCTAGTCCAACCCCTCTGCTCAAAGCAGGACCAACACCAACTAAATCATCCCAGACAGGGCTTTGTCAAGTCGGGCCTTAAAAACCTCTAAGGATGGAGATTCTGCCACCTCCATAGGTAACCTATTCTAGTACTTCACCACCCTCCTAGAGAAATAGTTTTTCCTAATATCCAACCTAGACCTCCCACACTGAAACTTGAGACCATTACTCCTTGTTCTGTCATCTGCCACCACTGAGAACAGCCTAGCTCCATCCTCTTTGGAACCCCCCTTCAGGTAGTTGAAGGCTGCTATCAAATACCCCCTCACTCTTCTCTTCTTCAGACTAAATAACCCCTGTTCCTTCAGCCTCTCATAAGTCAAGTGCTCCAGCCCCCTAATCATTTTCGTTGCCCTCCACTGGACTCTCTCCAATTTATCCACATCTCTTCTGTAGTGGGAGGAGCAAAACTGGATGCAATACTCCAGATGTGGCCTCACTAGTGCCGAATAGAGGGGAATAATCACTTCCCGTGATCTGCTGGCAGTGCTCCTATTAATACAGCCCAATATGCCATTGGCCTTCTTGGCAATGAGGGCACACTGCTGACTCATATCCAGCTTCTCATCCACTGTAATCCCTAGGTCCTTTTCTGCAGAACTGCTGCTTAGCCATGCGGTCCCCAGCCTGTAGCGGTGCATGGGATTCTTCCTTCCTAAGTGCAGGACTCTGCACTTGTCCTTATTGAACCTCATCAAATTTCTTTTGCCCAAGCCTCCAATTTGTCTAGGTCACTCTGGACCCTATCCCTACCCTCCAGCATATTTACCTCTCCCCCCGCACTTAGTGTCATCTGTGAACTTGCTGAAGGTGCAATTAATCCCATCATCCAGCTAATTAATAAAGATGTTGAACAAAACCGGCCCCAGAACCGAGCCCTGGAGCACTCCGCTTGATACCGGCTGCCAACTAGACATCGAGCTGTTGATCACTACCCATTGAGCCCGACAATCTAGCCAGCTTTCTATCCACCTTATAGTCCATTCATCCAAACCATACTTTTTTATCTTGCTGGCAAGAATACTGTGAGAGACTGTATCAAAAGCTTTGCAAAAGTCAAGATATATCAAATCCACCACTTTTCCCATATCTACAGAGCCAGTTATTTCATCATAGAAGGCAATCAGGTTGGTCAGGCATGACTTGCCCTTGGTGAATCCATGTTTACTGTTCCTGATCACCTTCCTCTCCTCCAAGTGCTTCAAAATATATTCCTTGAGGACCTGCTCCATGATTTTTCCAGGGACTGAAGTGAGACTGATCAGTCTGTAGTTCCCCGGGTTCTCTTTCTTCCCTTTTTGAAATATGGGCACTATATTTGCCTTTTTCCAATTGTCCAGGACCTCCCCAGATCGACATGAATTTTCAAAGATAATGGCCAATAGCTCTGCAATTACATCAGCCAACTCTCTCAGCACCCTTGGATGCATTAGATCTGGACCCATGGACTTGTGTACGTCCAGCTTTTCTAAATAGTCCAAAACCTGTTCTTTCACCACTGAGGGCTGCTCACCTCCTCCCCATACTGTGTTGCCCAGTGCAGCAGTCTGGGGGCTGACCTTGTCTGTGAAGACCGAGGCAAAAAAAGCATTGAGTACTTCAGCTTTTTCCACATCATCTGTCACTAGGTTGCCTCCCCCATTCAGTAAGGGTCCCACACTTTCCCTGACCTCCTTCTTGTTGCTAACATACCTGTAGAAACCCTTCTTGTTACCCTTCACATCCCTTGCTAGCTGCAACTCCAATTGTGCCTTAGCCTTCCTGATTACACCCCTGCATGCTCTAGCAATATTTTTATAATCCTCCCTAGTCATCTGTCCAAATTTCCACTTCTTGTAAGCTTCCTTTTGAGTTTAAGATCACTGAAGATTTCACTGTTAAGCCAAGCTGGTCGCCTGCCATATTTGCTATTCTTTCTGCACTTCAGGATGGTTTGTTCCTGTGCCCTCAATAAGGCTTCTTTAAAATACAGCCAGCTCTCTTGGGCTCCTTGCCCCCTCATATTAGCTTCCCAGGGGATCCTGCCCATCAATTCCCTAAGGGAGCCAAAGTCTCCTTTTCTGAAGTCCAGGGTCCGTATTTTGCTACTCTCCTTTCTTCCTTTTGTGAGGATCCTGAACTCAATCATCTCATGGTCACTTCGCCTAGATTGCCGCCCACTTCTACTTCCCCTACTAATTCTTCCCTGTTTGTAAGCAGCAGGTCAAGAGGAGCACGGCCCCTAATCGGTTCCTCCAGCACTTGTATCAGGAAGTTGTCCCCAACACTCTCCAAAAACTTCCTGAATTGTCTCTGCATTGCTG